CAGTAATTAACAGGGACAGGACCTGCTTGAAGTGCATAACTTGTGCTCCCTCCCCCCCTCTTCCTTTAATACCAGTCATTGCAATGCCATTACAGTCCTTTTAACAGAGTGAAAGTAACATGGCATTACAATGACTGGTATTAGGCTAGGGTTACATTGGATAGTGCTCTGAAAAGCAATCTATGGTGGATTGATTTTTAGTGTGTGTCCAGGAAGCCGAGGTCAGGCATTCAGGAGGCAGTCCTGCCACAATGATATAGTGCCACAACTGCAAATAAAAAGTTTTTGTTCACAGTTGCAGTACAGCCTTATTGACTTGAATGGTTGTGTTGGACAGGCAATATTGCCTGTGAACTCAGCATGCTGTGTTAAATTTGCTGCAGCATATGAATAGTTTCGTCCAGCTGTATTTTAAACTACAGTGAGGAACAGAAGTATTTGAACACTCTGCGATTTTGCAAGTTCCCCCACTTAGAAATCATGGAGGGGTCTGAAATTCACATTGTAGGTGCATTCCCACTCCGAGAGACAGAATTAAAAAAAAAATTCAGGAAATCACATTGTATGATTTTTAAAGAATTTATTTGTCTTGCACTGCTGAACATAAGTATTTGAACACCTAAGAAACAGCAAGTAGTCTGGCTCTCAAAGACCTGTTACTGTGCCTTTAAAAAGTCCACCTCTACTCCACTCATTAATCTAACTTAGTAGCACCTGTCTGAGCTCTTTAAAGACACTTGTCCACCCCACAGTCAGTCAGACGCCAGCTAATACCATGGGCAAGACCAAAGAGCTGTCAAAAGACACCAGAGACAAAATTGTGGACCTCCGCAAGGCTGGAAAGGGCTACAGGGCAATTGCCAAGCAGCTTGGTGAAAATAGATCAACTGTTGGAGCAATTGTTAGAAAATGGAAAAGGCTAAAGACGACTGTCAGTCTCCCTCGGACTGGGGCTCCATGCAAGATCTCACCTCTTGGGGTATCATTGATGATAAGAAAGGTGAGGAATCATCCCAGAACTACAAGGGAGGAGCTGGTCAATGACATGAAGAGAGCTGGGACCACAGTTTCAAAGGTCACTGTCGGTAGAACACTACGCCGTCATGGTTTCAAATCATGCATTGAACAGAAGGTTCCCCTGCTCAAGTCATCACATGTCCAGGCCCGTCTGAAGTTTGAAAATGACCATCTGGATGATCCAAAGGAGGCATGGGAGAAAGTCATGTGGTCAGATGAGACCAAAGTAGAACTTTTTGGTCTAAACTTCACTCGTCGTGTTTGGAGGAAAAAGAAGGATGAGTTGCATCCCAAGAACACCATCCCTACTGTGAAGCATGGTGGTGGTAACATCATGCTTTGGTGGTGCTTTTCTGCGAAGGGGACAGGACGACTGCACTATATTAAGGAGAGGATGAATGGGGCCATTTATTGTGAGATTTTGAGCAACAACCTCCTTCCCTCAGTCAGAGCATTGAAGATGGGTCGTGACTGGGTATTCCAACATGACAACGACCCGAAGCGCACAGCCAGGATAACCAAGGAGTGGCTCCGTAAGAAGCATATCAAGGTTCTGGAGTGGCCTAGCCAGTCTCCAGACCTAAATCCAAGAGAACATCTTTGAAGGGAGCTGAAACTCTGTGTTGCTCAGCGACAGCCCCGAAACCTGACAGATCTAGAGGAGATCTGTGTGGAGGAGTGGGCAAAATCCCTGTTGCAGTGTGTGCAAACCTGGTCAAGAACTACAGGAAACGTTTGACCTCTGTAATTGCAAACAAGGATTCTGTACCAAATATTAACACTGATTTTGTCAGGTGTTCAAATACTTATGTTCAGCAGTGCAAGACAAATAAATTCATTAAAAATCATACAATGTGATTTCCTGAATTTTTTTTTTAATTCTGTCTCTCAGAGTGGGAATGCACCTACAATGTGAAATTTCAGACCCCTCCATGATTTCTAAGTGGGAGAACTTGCAAAATCGCAGGGTGTTCAAATACTTCTGTTCCTCACTGTATAGGTGGGAGGCCAGGGGTTGGTGAAACTGCAGCTCAGCCACCTGTGAATGATGTAAGGGGGCTCTTAGGACTCTGTGTTAAGGGGAAGGAACCTAGGTACCTTAATATAAAGGGGGGACATTAGGGACTCAGATGCAAGGGGGGGGGCTCTTGGGATGCTGATGTAAGGAGGAAGGGGCTCAGGTGTAAAGGGGGGACTCTGGGGACCCTCCTTTAAAGGAGTGACTCTAAGGACCCTGATGTCAGGAGGGGGTGCTCTGGGGACCCTGATGTCATACAAGGTGACTCTGGGAACCCTAATGTAAGGGGGGTGGACACTCGGATCTAAGGAGGGGAACTTTGGTGGCCCTGATGTAATGGGCTCATTGGGACCCTGAGGTAAGGGGGAAGAACCTCAGAAACTTTAAAGTAAGGGTGGAACTCTAGGGACCCTGATGTTAGGGGGAGTGACTCTGAGGACAAGAGGGAGAGGGGGAGGACTCTGATGTAGAGGGGTCACTCTGATGAGGATTCTTGGTGTAAGGGGGGAATCTGATGTGAACAGGTGAGCACTCTATATGTTGTTTTGATGTTACTTACTCCTGACCCTGCACTCTATACATTATGCTGTACATTACACAGTCCTGACCAAAGTGTTTATTGACCCAACAGTTGCTGGTTTTAATGAAGTTCTTCTTTAAGGTCGGCTCAGACAAAGTGATCGCTTTTTGTGTGCAGAAATGCATATGTGATGGAAACATTTAAATATTTGAAAATGATCCTTTGTTTTGTGTATCTTTAAGACTTAAGTAAGTAGCAGTATTTTGTGGGTTTGAGGACTATGCTATATGTGTCCAATGTATACAGCGGCTAGGTACAGATTCTGTTTAATCATCCCCTTTTAATCCTTCCACTGTTAGGCAAAATCTGTCCTCTGTGTCACTTACTGTTGACCTCTGAACTTTGCCTCATCTATTACTGCCCCCTGTCCTCTGCCCGACTGACCTCTTTACACTGCCCTACAAACTGCTGATGTTGTCCTCTGCCGTGCTTACTTCCTGTGCACTGCTCTGATGACCTCCCATCCTCTGCCCCCCCCTGGCATTTTTTACTGTACTCCCACATCAGTCAGGTTAAATCCAGCCCTGATTAGCAGCAAATCTGGGTAATGAGTACACAAATAGGACCTGACAGAAAAGCTTTACATATAGCTTTATTCATATACAATTATAATGATTTTATTGGTCTCACATATGAAGAAAAAAAAATTGTCTTTAACAATTGTCTTGACTTCCTAGGGCTCCAAAGACTGATATATGAGCTTCTTCACTACCTAACAATGACGGCTTCATTTCCAATAAGGTGGGTCCACTGACCTGGTAGTCACATGACAAATGGTCTCTTTGTTCTTTTTATTAAAATATCCATGTGCATACAAAGAAATCTGATAGCATAACACACAGCGGTATCTAATATATTCTAATGACATCTGCCTTCTTAGCACGGAGAAGCTTCTACATTAACTTACAGTAGTCCAGATTTGCTGATCACACAGAGAATCATTAAGACATTTCCCTTTCTGAATTAGAAACATGTTCCCTTCTGCTGCCTCGCACAAATCAACTTTCCCCAGGTGGCTCTCTTTTACAGACAAATCTGATACCCTGCTTCATTTGCATATCTGAATTATTAAAAAAGTGTCTTATCAATAATTAAACTCAGGCATGTTTTGCTGGCTCTTTTCTTGTTTTTCCTGCTCTTTAATGACACCAGAGAGATGGTACTTGTTAACTCTTTACAATGCCAGGCACTGTCATCTAATTTACAGAATTGCTTTTACTTAACATAAGTTTGTTTTTACAATGAAATTCATGCATTAAACACAAGGTGGTAAGCTATTAACTTTTTGTACTGCTTTCATTTGATTTAGATATTTTTTCCATTTTGTATTTATCTAAATTTGAGTTGTATTATTCCCTAGTGGATTACTCTCTATTGGATAGCATCCAAAGCATACCACCCTAGTCTATTCCACATTTGTTCCACATTTCTTACTTATTTGCATTTGTTGGAGGACATCCGAAGCATACCTCCTTACTTTCTGATTAGCTTTAAGCAACTTTTTAACACAATAATACAGTAAAGGATACACCCCTTTGATGCTCCAGTTACACAGGCTTTAAAAAAAATGTATGTGACAATAGAGTTGCCCCATATTCATTTTCTGTACTGACATGACCCCATCAGATGACAACTGACTACAAGTATATCCTTGCATGTGACGTGCAAGGACACTGCAGGAGCATAAAGGTTGTAGCTGGGCTTTTTGAACATTCGTGAGGCCCTAGGCTTCTGCCTAAATTGCCCTGTGGATGGTCCAGTTCTCAGTTTGTACCAAACCCACAGTAGGAATTATAAAGATGAGATACTGTATATAACACTCAAGCCAAGTAGAAAAACTTGTTAAAATGTCTTTACATAAAAAAATACATTTATCTTGAATATTTAACCACTTGCCTACCAGGCACTTATACCCCCTTCCTTACCAGGCCAATTTTCAGCTTTCAGCGCTGCCGCACTTTGATTGACAATTGCGCGGTCATGCAACATTGTACCCATATGAAATTTTGATTTTTTTTCTCCCAAATAGAGCTCTCTTTTGGTGGTATTTAATCGCCACTGGGCACTTTACTTTTTGCACTATAAATAAAAAAAGTGCAAAAAATTTGAAAAAAAAAAAAAGTTTCTTGTTTCTATTATAAAATTTTTCAAACAGGTATTTTTTTCTCCTTCACTGATGTGCGTTGATGAGGCAGCACTGATGGGCACTGATAGGCGGCACTGATGGGCACTGATAGGCAGCACTAAAGGGCACTGATAGGCAGTACTAATGAGGTGGCACGAATAGGCGGCACTGATAGACAGCACTAATGAAGTGTCACGGATAGGCAGCACTAATATGCAGCACTGATAGGCGGCACTGATAGGTGACACTGATGATGGGTACTGATAGACGGCACTGACTGGCATCACTGCTGGGCACTGACTGGCGGCACTGACTGGGACAACCCCTGGGCACTGACTGGTGGCACTGACTGGCAGCACTGCTGGGCTGCACTGGTGGGTGGCACTGGTGGGCAGCACTGGTGGGTGGGCACAGGTGGGTGGCACTGGTGGGCACAGGTGGGTGGGCACAGGTGGTTGGCACTGCTGGGCACATGTCGGTGGCACTTCTGGGCACAGGTAGGTGGCACTGCAGAGTGGCACAGGTGGTGGGTGCACTGCTGGGCACAGGTGGGTGCACTGCTGCGTGATCTGCTGGGCACAGGTGGGCAGAGCTAGTGGGCTCACTGCTGGGCAAGGTGGGCGGAACTTGCGGGTGGCACTGCTGGGCACCGATCATCAGGGCACTGATCATCAGTGCCCTGATGATTGGTGCCGATCCCCGCTCTGACAAGTGCCGGTTCTCGGCAGTACTTTCCTCACGATCTGACAGCGTGAGGAAAGTGCAGCCAAGAACCGGCACTTGCATTTCCCTGTGATCAGCGTGTCATTGGACACCGCTGATCACGTGGTAAAAGGCCGCTGTGATTGGCCTTTTACCACATCATGTGATCAGCTGTGTCCGTAGGAGATCGCCGGGTGCGCAGGAGAGCACGTTCTGGGAGGACGTCATATGACGTCCACTCAGAACTGGCCGGCCGCAGTGCAGCCGTCATTCGACTATCTGCGGTCGGCAGCTAGTTAAAGAAGATCTGAGTCCAACTTCAGCTGAGTCCAATGATATTTGAAATTTACAGGCACATGAATAAAATAAAATCCTTATTCTTGTGTTAAAACGTTGTGAATTAAAATGGTTCTAAAGTCATAATATTTCTTACCATAATGCAATCCCTGCATTAGGGTAAAAATGTCCCAGTAGCAGTATCCTGTATGCTTAAGTGCCTTTATTTACTGTTTACTTTTTGTGTGTTTGAGTAGGGTTACTATGTACCCCTTACTTATTCACACAGAAAGCAGCCAGTATCTGGGTGTCCCCTTATTGTTAAAAGGGGCTTCCAAATTGTTGTTATCCCCCCCCACCCACAGACCCCCACAACCAGTGGGCCAGGATTGTGGGAAAAAGGCCCCTGTCCTCATCAACATGGGGATCAGGGGATTTGTCAGGGGAGGAAACCCCTTGGCAAGGTTTTCCATCCATGTTGAGGACATATTGTCTCCCGTTATATTGTAAAGCGCTGAGCAAACTGTTGGCGCTATATAAATGCTGTATAATAATAAAATAATAATATGGCCTGGTATGGTTCAGGGAAGAGTAGAACACTCATGCCCCGTGGTCTGCATGCTTGGACATGGGTCTGGTATGGAATGTTGGGGACCCCAGGTCATTTTCTATTTTTTTTGCATGGGATGACCCTTGACATCCAACCCTTATCAAGAATAAGGATCTAATATGTATTTTTAGGGGGAACCCCACACTGTTTTTGGGATCCAGGTTCGTCTAGAATATGGGTCTGGTAGAGATAATGGTATTATCAGGCTGTTTGTTTGCAAATAGACGTAAAGCAGTCAAAGCTGTCAGTTGATGATTATTTATATAGCATATTTTCCTTTTTTGTTTTGCTAAAGTACGTTGTATACATTGTACAAATATACCACTGCACTGACAGGTTAAAGGCATCCCCCCAACATGTTATTTAAAGGAATTTAGCATTTTTATTATTTCACCTGGCACAGTATTAAAATCGATGCTCCCCATCAAACAACAGATTTTTAATTTATTTATTTGTTACATTGGTACATGTTCCCCAAGCAGTGCCAGTCCCCATGTCATTTGTTTGGCAAACCATTGCCTATTGCCTAAAAAATGATTTTATTTTTTTTTTTTAATTCAGCTCCCATTGATTTCAATGAGGCTTGCATTCAGCATTTTAAATTTAGTCATGTTCTGCCTCCAACTAAACCCAGGTATGTTCCTCTCCTCTTAACCTATGCCAGCCTATGCTTTCTATCAGGGGGAAAATACAGTATTTGTGTAACTTATGATATGGAAGGAGAACAAGTTCAGTTTTTTGATCATATTCATTCAGGTAACCCCTAAGGTTTCATCATGTAGGCATTCCACCTCTTAGAGACCTGCTCCAAAATTGAACTTTAAGCACAAATAAAATACACACTGAATGCAGCTCTTATTCCTGTTATCCTTCATGCATCATTAAATGTATTTTCTGAATGCAGGCAGTGTACATACCTGAATTTGACCAGCCTCTTGTAGTTTCTGTACAGCAGGGATAGTGTGTGAGAGGAAGTAGCAGCAAGAGGAGTCAATTGGTTTATGTGATGGCAAGAAGTATGCTGATAGGAGGCAAAAGCAGGTTGACAGAGCTTCACTGTGCTGCTTCTCCTTTCAGTCCATTAACAGGCTGTGATGGGTTCAGGACAACCTGGGCTCAGAGGATGTGAGGCCATCAGACTGAGGAAATCTAGCTGCAGAAAAAATACTTAATCTTTATAATGAAGGGTAAGATTGCAGTAAAAGCTGTTTTTGGTACTTTACCTTTTCATGGGCTAGTCAATTTTGCTGGAGCTCTACTTTAAGTTAATTATCCACAAATACCTGAACTGTGGGTATTTTACACTTAACAGCAGAAATGTTCTCCATGTATTTCTTTGTTTTACAGAACTGATTAAAGAGTATGTAAACTCAACATTTCATATTACTGATATGTGCCTGCTGTACTAAGCACCTATATGAAAACGTATGTTGTTCTTTTTGTATCCCTGGTGTTCCTGCCAGTCTCTCTGCTTTCCTAATAAAAATTGTCTACATTAGGTATGAGAGCACAACATGGTCAGTTCTCTAGCTATGCTGGGACTCAGTGTGCTCTCTTCCACTGTTCAGACTTCTGCTCACACACCCCCTTCCTTTACAGCCATTCACTAGAAAGACCAGTATGCTTCTGTTTCTCCTAACCCCAGTTCTCTGTTCTCATTTGCATTAGGAGTTTAGAGGGAATGTGATCACTTATAAAACAGGAGAAAACAAGTATTTAAAATGTGTATACACAAATGTTTTGCCTTTCATTTCTATTTTAAACTGAATGGGTTGTTTTACAATGTGAGGGTTTACATATACTTTAAGGCTGTGTCTTTTATATGGGTATTGGCTGCTGGTGTGAGGTTTAGTTTATTTGTCTATTCAACTCTATAATGTCTCAAGCATATTCAGTTGGTGGTGCTATAGGAACAAAGGTTGAGGAGTGTCAAGCATGACAGGTTCCATGTCCCTAGGGGGCCTGCACACTGCCTGTCATCTAAATCTTTTAGGCTGACTGCAGTACAGTTTAGTATAGCCAAATGGAGTTCTAAGCCAGCAATATTGTCTCCCCAGCCTGATTAAGTAATAGTGTATGCATTACTTTTTGACAAAACTTTTTTGTTTTCCAGTGGAATGTTATTTTCACATGATAAAAATAAGCAAATAAGGAAATGCAGACAGCAGCTGCTTGCTTTTTTTAGGGGAAATAAAATTCTTTTGTTATGTGCTGTATTATATCTTTTGATCTCCAGAGTAAGATAAATGAAAATAAACAAAATAAAAATCAAACTAAAGCTATATGCATCAGTCCCTACAGAACCTAGTGTAAGTAGAAGTGTTTTGATTGCTAAGCTAACAGCATATTTTGTTTGGTATTTTACCTTTACTAGATCCAAATTCATTTTTGTATAGAGCTGAAATTGCAAATAATATGTCTCTAGACACAATACAAAACTGTACCACAAAACTAAAGAAGAGCCGCAGCAAAATTCAAAATTCAGTGCTGTATTAGCCCTAAGTATAGCTCCTAACTGCATTTTTTTTTAAATAAGCTCTTTGGCAGAGAAACTAATGATCCCCACTGCATTTTGCTACTGTAATTTAAATGGCCTTCTAGGTATCTTCTGTTACACATTAGCCATTGCAAACTAAGGCCCTGATTCACAAAACCGCAAGTTCTAAAAGACTTTTAAAAACTAGCTTGAATTCACATGTTCATTTGCTGCATCTTTCTCTGTCACTAAAGTTTGCAGACCAACATTTCCCAATGGAAATTGAGCTGTGTTCATGTGTTAAAATGCCAAAAATACAAATATTAACAGGGAGAAGAGGGTTTCTGGTGGGTAATGCTGGCCTTTGATGTAGCTAGCCATGAGAGTTCCTAGGAGCCATAGTAAACAGGGGTGTCTGGCATGACCTATTGAATGAAGGAAAATAATATAACATTGATTAAAAGTCATAACTTACACTGATCAAAAGATAGAGCAAGGGTGCCGTATGTTCACTGTGTTTGCCTCTTTGGTTTCCTTTGGCTGTTATACCCCATCATGTTTGTGGTGCCAGTGTTAGTTCCTACTTGCTGAACATCAAGTTTTCAACATGTAAGTGTGCTATTTTAATAGGCTTGTTTTGTATGATTTTACTAATCCCTGTGCTCTTGCTCTGTGTTTTGCATGCTGCCTTTGGAAAACCTTACCAGATCTTAGATGAGGAGCTGCAGGAGAGGTCTGACCCTTTCTCACCTCCATCCACTACCTCCCCCCTTGATCACAGTGCATTGAGTAAGCTGTATGACCTCCGGTGTGTGCTATTTTTCTTCACAAAAAGTTACACTAATGGCTGAAAACATGTTAATGTTTTCTTTAAATTTTTAGAGTTTTTAAAAAAGTCTTAAAGTGGTTGTAGAGGCTCAAGGTTTTTTACCTTCATGTATTCTATGCATGAAGGTAAAAAAACCCTCTGTGTGTAGCAGCCCCCCCCAGCACTTACCTGAGCCCCCGATCCAGCGATGTCCTGGAGAGCCTCATTTCTCAGGGGACTCTCATTCCTGATTGGCCACTGGCTCCCACTGCTGTCAATCACAGCCAGTGAGCCAGTGAGGAGACAGAGGGGGTGGGGCCGAGCCATGACTCCATGTGTAAATGGACACACGGAGCAGCGGCATAGGAATGCGCCTGCTCAGGTGCCCACATAGCAAGCTGTTTGCTATACGGTCACCCGACAGGAAGGAGGAGCCAGAGGACCCAAGAAGAGGAGGATCCTGGCTGCTCTGCAAAAAAAAAAAATACTGCAGAGACTAGAGCAGGTAAATATAACATGTTTATTATTAAGAAAAAAAACCTGAACCTTTAGTATCGCTTTAAAGCACAACTCCAGTTTTCATGTGTGCCCCTTGCCCTCTCCTCCTTTCCTGAATCCCTCCCCAACTGCTTTATTAAACAATTCATTTATACCTACCTTTTTTGCTGCAGTCTTCAGGCCAGTCCAGCTATGGTGGGCAATCCTTACTCCTGGCAGAGCAATGCTAAGTAATGAACTTTGAGCCAGGAGTGTAAGGGACACTATGATTGGACAGGTGTTGGCATCAAACTGTACCTCATCTTCCTTCTTCTCAGATAGAACAACCACCCACCTTTTGTTGAGAAACTCTCTGCCATCTTGTGTCATATTCCTGGCCGGAGGCCAGTTGATGATATCCCTAAACAGAGGCCC